AAAAAAGCAGCTGACAGGCATGCTCAAGGCCAGTGGGAAAGGTGAGGGCTTTGTCAAAAGAACACCCGGGCCTTCTGGGTAGTCTGCAAGTGTGAGTGAGACGAGGGGCGTGACAATGAGCTTGGAAAAAGAAGGAGCAGCCCCGTGGAAGCAGTTCCCCGGGTGACTGGTAAATGCAGGTCTGCACTTGGCTGCTCTCGTAGCTTTGGGGCTCTCGCCCTTTGCCCCCCTGAGGTCTGCAAGAAAGCCTTGTCTGTGGTGCCCTTCCGCCCCACAGAGCCAGAGCCCCGGGGAAACTTGCCAGTAGCTCAGCAGCGTGGCTGCTCTGCAGGCCAGGGGGGTTTAAGGCAAGGCAGAGTTGGTGCGTTAAGTGCTCTGAAGGGAAGCGTTGGGGGAAAGAGAAGCAACACTGTGTGAGGGGACACGAGGGGCTCCGAGCGCATGGAAGGAGAAAACTTGCTGCCATGGAGATGGTCAGGCGGTGGAAGGGCTTACCCCGGGAGTTTGTGCAGCCACGTCGGTGGGGCCTTTGAAGAGCAGTGCAAGGAGCCCTGAAGAGCACGGCCTGAGCTGGTAGTTGAGGCTGCTTCAGGGAGGCCCCTTCTAAGAGAAATTCTCCAATGCTTGCATGGACTTGGCTTTGCTTTCCCGGAGCTTGTAGGAAAGGGGGGAAGAGGTCTTTTGGGAGCAAGCAGGGGAAAAATGAGGCAGGATGAGACATGTTTCCGATGAACTTTTGGATGCTTTAGGACTGCTCTTGTGGTTACTGGAAGCCATGAGGCTCACGTGGAGGAAGATAATCTGCCCTTGCAGGAGGAGTTGGACAGGGCTGACATGGAGGTATGGAAAGCCTGTCCCCACAGGGAGAAACATGGGGGGTGCTCGTTGCTTCCTTTCCATCACGAAAAGGGACAAAACAGTATTCTGGGAGCCGGTACGACAGAGACCTAAGGAAGCGGCAGTTCCATTGGGCTTTGATCTGCCTCTGTCCCTCCGGCCCCCTGCCCCACAATCCGCCATGCTGAGGCAGAGCTGCCTCTCCTTAGGGTTTCACTCCTTACCGCTCAGGAGGGCTGGGGTTCCTCTCTTTCTGCTACATTGGAGGTCTTCCTGCTTTAAGAAGACTCCCCACGCAGCCCTGGCTCCATTCTCGACTCCAGGGCAGGTCTGTGGAGCAGTTCACCTGGCTGCCTTTGCTGAAATGGTGGTCATCAGCTCGTCAGTGATGCCACCCTTCCTGGCCCCACCCCACTGAAGCAGAACTGCCTCAGGCATCCACTGCTTCCTGCTCAGGGGCTGCTGGGCGCCTCTCTCTGCACTACAGTGCGGGTCTTTCCCACTGAAGAAAACTCCCCGTGCTGCCCTGGTGCAATCCTGGGCTCCAGAGCACATGTGCCAGAGCACTTGGCCTCTGCCACTTGCCCGACGCCTTCCTTTAGGAAGATGAACTATTTCACTGGTCTTTTCCTGGAGTAGCAAGCAAGGGAATACAAGAAGCGTCCCAGGTGACCAAAAAGGACGGAGGGGCAGTGTCGGTGCTTAGAAGCGTGCTGTAGGAAAGCAGTGGAGGGATAGGAGAGGCTGCTGTAAAAGAGGACAAAGACCTACAGTTTGTGTTCATGGGGTAGTAGAAGTGAAGCTTTGAAGGGACTTGAGTGGATTGCAGTTCTTTGGGCAGAGGGGATGCACACAGACATGCAGCACCTGAGTTCTTCAGCAGCAGCTGGCTCCTCTCTGGAAAAGTTCACCTGACAACTGTGGATTCTTCCCGTGATTTTACAGCTGCGGGAGGAGGAAGAAAAGCATCTTCAGTCTGAGCATTGCGTTTGTGACTTGAAGACTGCCTTGGATGACAAGGGAAGAGAAGCAATAACTTCTTCCCAGAAACTGCAGGACCTCCCGCTGGCGTCTTGCGAGACTAATATGACTGTAAAACAAGTGGAAGAAGAGGCGCAAGAGTAAGAGAGTAACCCAGTGACGCGCGGGGTCTGTGGCTTTGGGGGACTGGGTGGAAACAAGGGGAGAACCACTGGGATTTTGAAGGGCACTTCTGCTGTGGATTCTGTTCCTTAGCACAGTTTGTCTGGCACTGGATTTTCTGGGAATAAGAGCTGTATTTCTTCTTAAGCTTTGCAAGTGAAAAGAGCAGATTGGAAGGCACTGTCCAGCAGCCAAGCGATGGCGTTGAAGCCCTTCCGAGAGACCTGCAAGCCTCTGCCTCAGTAAGCTGGTGCTAAATTTGCCTTTTTGTGACTCTTGAGCCTAGTTGCCTATTTGTGCGCGGAAAGTGTCAGATGAAGTTTTCCTGGAGAGCCTAGGGGAGCTCAGTTTCTGCCTTCTCCTCAGTAGTAGAGGCTGCTCAGAAAGCAGCCTGGTCCTTTCCCCAGCTGCTACAAAAGCCCCGAGGGTATTTGCTGTGCTGGACACTCGAGGAATTCTTAGATTCTAAATGAGGAGTTTCATCCTGAGCTCCAAGGGAGCCGGAAGTATTGCTGCCAGGAGTGTCTCCCAAATTCTTGAGTAGGTCTAAAGTTTCTTCTTTCTGTCGGGGAATCTTTCAAGTGTTTCTAGGCTGGTTTCCAGTAGAGGAGAGATACAGTTGCGATGGCCACCCCCTTGAGAAGTTTTCCCAGAATTCACTGCCTTTAGATGCTGCTGAGTTTCCTTTTCTTTTTTTTTTGTCCTGTGTCCAGGGTGGTGAACTTTGCCAGCAGCTGGACATGGAGCCTAGAAGAGGCATGCCGCTCGAGGCTCAAAAGCAGGCTTTGCAAGGAGAGCTGTCCAGTCTGCATGGGAAGTGTGAAAACCTGGAGAAGAGCAAATGGCAGCTGCAAGAAGAGCTGGCAGAACTCGATCATCGTTTGGAGACTTTGCTGCTGGATGGCAGCCAAAGAGAAGAATGTAAAAGAGAGGTAGAAGAACCGGCTGACCAGGAAAGAAGTCAAAAGCTACAAGACGTCAGCCTCGTTTTGCAAGTAAGTGAATTTCTCCCCAGCGTCCACAGGCGCTACGTA